TGGTGGCTGCAGGTGATGCTGAGGCGTAGACTCCATAGGTCAAGGCTCTGGTGGGGCTTCTTCACAGCTCAAGTGCTCTTGATGCAAGGAACAGCAGAAATAGGGTTGAGTTTCACCCTTTAAAGTATATACTTAGCTTTGTGGTTTCTTCAGAGGGAGGCTGTTGTCGCATGTGTAGGAGATGTACAAACAGGTTGATGCAGTTACCCAGTTAAGATTTCTGGCAGCCTTTGACAGCGTAAAGAGATGTCAAGTGTGGCCGATGTAGATATCAGATGAATGGTTACTTCATTTCTTAGAAATGCAAAAAAGCACAGAGGATCCCTGCAAAACAGGAATGGCAGTCCTGTGCCCAGGCTTCATTAGGGGCAGATGGCAAATTTATGTCCTCAGGGTTGAACATCAGTGGTCAGCGTGCCTCAAAGTAGCAATAAATATGTAGTGCTAGCTATGCTAAATCTGAAACAAGGGCAGGAGCTTCAAAAATACCAAACAATCAAAAATAGACTGTATATTAAAGTGAAACCTGATCTCTCGATCTGCAAGTTTTTTGTTGCAGATCCTTAAAACCCCATGTTTAGAGCTTAAATAGGTGGATTTTGGAGCTTCTGCTATTGCAATTAGCTTCTTGGATAGTCTTAGAATCCCATGTGAGTCCACAGATGATGGATTAAAATATGCAGTGAGTCATATTAAATTGGTGCCAATTGAAATGCACAGGTTGTAAATCACTGCAGAATTTGACTCAGTAAATAGCATGTAATACTTTGCAATTCTAAGCACTGCGTCTATCTTAGATTAGCTCCTTTCTTCTTTCTGAGGAGCAGAAAATGCTTCATAAAATACTAATTTACTGGACTTCACGGGACCTAGCTTGGTGTCTTAGCTTTTAACTGGCTAAACTAAGTTACAGAGGGGATGGATGGGTCGGTTGTGATTGTGCATGAAAGCTGTGGTAGAGCCAGGAACATAATCCAAGTCTCCTGACTCTTGGATTTGAACTTTAAAACCAGATCATATTTCCTTTGTGCTTTCAGCCTGTATACTGACCTTTAGGAATCATGTTTACCTACAAGTTCCCAGAAGAGATCTACTTTCCCTTGACATGCTTTCCTGGTATCAATTGCACTTTTCTTCTGATTATTATTTTGAGCATATAGAATACACAGAGAGAGCAAACGAAAATGGTATTTCCTGTGGAGGCACTGGGGGCCAGCTCTGCTCCCTGTAGACCATGTTAATAGGTAATAGGAAGTGGTGGATGCAGGTCCACCACTTAATGATAGAGAAACACTGTTTCTGTAAATACTGGTACACATCCTTTCTTCAGACCTTGGCACAGAAGAGAGCACGATTGTGCCCACAGTGCTGAGGATGGAGAGGGATCTGTGCTGGGTACAGTGGGAGGGTGCTGCTCTGAGATTCTCCTTTACATCAGACTAGTTCAGTCCCTACACCTTCCAAGAAGCAAAGGACCGTTCCCCTCTTCTCGTGTCTCTGTAACATTAAAGAGGCAACAGATAAGAGGAAGGATGTCTGAGAAGTTCAGAAAAAGGCAAGGTAAGAAGAAAAAAAGATGGTGAGATTGTTTTACCCTGTTGTGGTGGAAAGCCATGAAGCCTGATTATTCTGACTCTTGGGGAAGGAGACCTCCATGACCAGATGTCATTAGAACTGGACTGGCTGAGCTCTGGCTTGCTGGCCTGTTTGAAAATTCAATTGATTGAAGGCAGGAGCAAAATCATACATCAGAGCCCAGTTCTATGAGACTTCCCAACTTGGGGAAAGCATGGGGGATCCTGTGTCATCCTTAAAGTTGTATGTTTTCATGATCCTTTCTTCCAATGGTTTTATGTTATTTGTACGTGCAGCCCAAAGTAGCCATACTTCTACCCCAGGCTGCCCACCTGCTGCTTGATATTTACAGTCTGTAGCGATGTCTGAATTTTCAAACCTACTGCATAAAAAAAATTAAGGTTTAGCTCATTGTCTTGACCTCTGTATCACAACAGAATCTTCACAGACATAAAAGAGATGATAGCTTTCAGTGCAGCCTGGGTAAATATTACAGGAAGCAGCTGAGATATTTGTTTGACACTTAACTTTTCTTAAGTTGTCTAAGTTGGGGTGATGTGGTATCTGCATCAAGTCTTACAGAGTCAAAGGCCAGTGTTCATATATACTTCTTGTATAATTCTGGGAGCATTTTCCAAATTCCCAATTTAGTTTGCATGGAGAGTGATACAGGGTTTTAAACAAAGTTTACTGATGACATGAGAGTTATTGTAACAGTTCAGCCCTACAGTTCCATCCAGTTCTCTGGACAGGGCTTATGTTTTATATTGCTTGGGAAAGGCTTATGGAAAGCTGATTATTGAAAAGGCATCATGCAGAGGCAATGTGCAGAAGAAAGAGAATGGAGCCTGCAAATAAGCTATCCAGAGCTTGTTACATCTGCAGGCACAGCTTCATTACTCCCTCCTGACTTTCTCCTCCCTTTATAGCTACTGCTGTGTGGATGACTGCCTTGCAAAACGGTGAGAGAGCTCAAGCATAGAAGCCAGCAAATCCGAGTGGAACGAAACCTGAGCAAATCAAAATCGTGCTCCATGGGTGAAGAGAGATCACCTTATATGGGAACATCATGGGCAAGAAGATGAATACGTCCGGCTGAGCTGCTGAGGTCAGATCCCAAACAGATGGAAAACGCTAATGTGAAAACAAGAGCATTTAGGAAGGGAAGACAACACTTACTTTTGCTTTGCTTATGCAGTCTGAGCCCTCCTGTTTGTCTCTTATTATAAATAGTGTTATGTGTATGTACACATAGATCTGACTGTGTTACACTAAAAATCAATTTCTTTGTGGCTTTCTAGCACCTAAATGCATCCCAGGTCTGTTTCTGGTTCCCACTTGTATCTTCTTCGGTTGTTAATAGGTAGCAGGCTTTTGCTTGCTAAAGTGTCACTAGTACCAACCATAGCCATGTGGACTGTGGTTGGCAAAAGCCTAAGGAGTGATCACTGATGTCTCAAAAAATTGTCTGTTTGTGCAGAATGTAACTTTTTCCTGTGTGCTAAAGCATTTAAGACAATACCAACAGCCAAGAAGCCTGTCTGGTTCTGAATGTTTTGTCATGACTACAGCCGAAGGTAGCATCCTAGATGATTTCAAATACTAAAGGATTGGAAGAAAAATATTAGTTCTGCATTGTAGGATTTGTATATTTTGTGCCTCTGTGTGGGTATTCTGATGCAAGAGAGAGGACCCTGGTCCTTTTAATGTGGGTCTAATGGATTCCGATCCAAACTTCTTGTCTTTCAGACTCTGACTCTGAGATTTACAAGTCCCACCTTGACAGCCCTGTATCTTTACAGCTCCACCTCCTGTGCTTACAGTGTCAGATGGTGGCCTCACACCTGTTCCTTGACCCCCTGGTCCAGATGCAAATAGTTGGCTTGCAGCACACTCACCAGCTCTGGCTTGTGCATGGTTCTGTGGAGTAGGAGAGGCTGCGGCCAAAGTATGTGCCATGTGTATTGGCTCTGCTGAGAGTAGTGACTTTGTCACTCCCTTTTAAGTCCATGCCTTGATACAACAGCAACCTAAGACCGAATAGGACAGCATCCCATGCAGTGTGAGATAAGCTGGAGATCTCTGTGGCCACTGATGACCCAAAAGCTTGCTTTACCATTGCCCTGTGCCTTGCATGGCCATTGCCACCCCTGAGAAGTGGGTGTTGCATGCATCTGCCCACTCCAGAAGTGCATTACACCTTCCTTGTGCTGATGCAAAGTGTTGGGTGCTGGAGACTAAGGCCCAGAAGGAGGTCAGTGTGACACTGCCTTCCATCCATTTAGCCTCATCTCTACAGTTGTCCTAGTATTGCTTCAGGCTGGCAAGGTCTAGTAGTACTGAGGAGGGATAGTGCCATCCACAGAAGGTGACAAGGAGAGTGCTGAGCAATCAGCTCCAGGGTGAAATTTGGTGGTAAGGCTTCTGACTGTGCCTTTAAGTGGGGTGGCCCGGGAAGGAGGTGGAGGGAGACAGCACCAGGCAGCTGCAGTTTTCAAAAGCCCGTTGACAGGAAGTGCTAGCAATGGGTGTACACGGCTGGCTGGAGTGGCTGACTCAGTACGACTCTCCGAAATACATACGTATTCAGAGTGTTAAAACTGGATTCGTGAAATGCATCTTTTACGCAACCTTCGCTTTGTCTATTTTGTAAGTGCATGGTGATGGGACGTTGTGATGTATGTGGGCAAATGTTTCTTGTATTGTGGATTGTCTGGTTACAACTTCGCTTTCAGCACTTTGAGCTTTGTGACTGCAAACAAGGTCATTGGTCTGGTGTTAGACCATTCTTGGAAAATGAATGTGGTGGGAGTGTGGCATAAGATACTATCTAACAAGGTGGGGTTACTTCGACAGAGTTAACTAAGCTTCCTCTAAAAAACATTTTCAGTTTTGTTTCTTGCCATGCTGTCTGTTTTTGTTTCTTCTCTGAAAAATCAAAAATATCTCCACCGAATAATCTCAGATTTACACCAGTGTTTCTGAGATTAGAGCCTCTCTGTAGAGTCTCCTATTCAGGATCAGATGAAGTGGCGAGTCACCCCTTGCAGCAGATTTCAAGAACAATAAGCTGGTTTAGCAATATGCAATAATTGATTGCCTCTAAAGGGCACATTTTCCTCTTTGCTGCCAAACTAGGGCTGTTATTAGTGATAAGTGTTTGCTGAACAAAGTCTGGTGAAGTTTATAGAATTGGTCTTATTCTCCTGGGACGGCACCAAGCCAGGACATTGAGCACACTGATCCCAATCTCACAAAGGATCGAGTCTGCAGGAAATTCAAGTTGCCTTACTAAGGTACTATACCTACCTACTTCTGCTCAGAGCTGGGTTCCCACTACCAGTTTCCAACAACATGGTTATCCCAAAGCTCTGTTCTCCAGAAGGAAAAGGCTGAAATCTTTTTATAGTAGACAATATAAATAAGGAACATTGATCAGTTGCTCTGTATTTATGTTCTTCAGATACTATTTTATCCCTCCCCAGAACAGTCTGTTGTTAAACTGAAATGGTGCTAGCCCTTGTGGCTTATTTTTCAAAGCAAACCTTTTAACAGCACTTTTATGTAGGGTGGAAAGTACCTTCTGAACATACAATAGTTTTTTCAAAGTTGATGGTGCTTTTATGAGTTAGATGAGCTAGATGACTTTCCTGTCAGCTTAAACCCAGAGGTGTCCTTCCTCCTTTTATTAACACATTCAATTCATGAGAAAGTGAAAACATTAGGCCAAGGTTTTTTAAGCAATTAGCATGAAGAACAAAAATAGTCACTCTGCAAAGTTAAGGACTAAGTATTTTAAGCTCTCTTTAAAGAAAAAAAAGTAGAGACAACACTACCCTTTGTGACAGAAAGTCAGTCTAGGTATACGGCAATGCAGCATGGGTGACACCAAGCCCTGTTGCACTTACTTGGTGTTTCACAAATGGCACCTGAAGGGTCAGAATGTCACCTCAGGTTGTCTATATAATTTAAGACCAGAAAGTAGAAATTCTCTTCTTGCATATATCAATTCATTTCTGACAAAGCTAAAAGTTGTGGAAGTGAAACTAAGGCAGACTTTGGTCCAAACGATGCAAGTGCATCACATAAAAAGGCTCTCAATCATTTGAAAATGTTCATCTGACTTTTATCTTGCAGTGCATTTTGTCCAAAAATGATACAAAGAAACTGACCCATTTCATTCTTATGGGTTTATTTGTCTTTTCTGTTTTATCTGGCCAGTTCTATAGTCATCGCTTATAGACTCTATCAGGAAACAGATGAAGTTAACAGCTCAGTACGCACTAGTGTGAAGGGAGTGGCTTACACAAATGACAGGATTTGGGATACAGCGGAATACACTATACCAATGCAGGCAAGTCTTAATTTAATGTCAGTCCAGTATTCAGCTTCCATTGATACATCTGGCTGCTTTCTTGAAAGGTCTCTATCCTACCATTCAGTGTGACTACTTTACATTGGAGACAACAATGTTTAAATCCAAATCTTCCCTTCCTTCCTTAATATAAGGAAAAAAAAATACTTTTTTATGAGATTTCTGTGGTGCTATTTGTTACACAATTTTTACATAATCCATTTAGTATTTTGGTAATAGTAAACCTAGGAACAGATTCACTCCAGTATAGCTGTACTAAACACAGTAGTGTTATTACCAATTAATGCTAGTGTATCTTTCTCAGTTTTACTGCCAGTTTAAAAACAAAAATCAGTGCCTTCTTACCTCTGGCTGCTCGTTCCTGCCCTGATGATGTCCCTGGCTTTTCCTGTTTGAGCCAGGTAGAATCTGAATGTCTGTCAGGGGCAGGTAGAGCAGGAACAGCCTTGTGCCCTTCCAGGTGATGTTCTGGAATGACTGAGGTCTCAATCAAGTGTGTAAAATTTCATCCAGATTCATATTCTTTCTTCCATGTAGGCAGTAAACTCTTTTTTCGTAATGACCAACATCATTAAGACAGAGAGTCAGACTGAGGAGACGTGCCCTGAGGTAAATGTGTTTTGTGATTTGTATTTAGGATGTATTGAATGTATGTTGATGTAAAAGAGTGGACTGTCTTTGGAGCAGTCCAGTACAAGCAAATACTGTTGCTCTTTATGTCTGTATCTCAGCAGATAACATGTAAGATCTAGTTTAATTGCTCCTTTTCTTTCTTGGGGAATCAGCTGGCAGTTGTGACTTTGCCTTGCACCAGTGACCTTGCACCAAACCTGTCTGCAACACTTTCAGGAGGTGATGACATTCAGGCCAGTGATTGCTGTCCAGCTTCTCTGGCATTGCTCTTGAGGAAAACCTGAAGGAATGATGGAGCTACAGAATTGCAATCAGCTTCTCTGCTAATATGGTGCTCTTACTATTACTGTTGCTCATTCCTACATGTCCCCTTCCTTCCTCTCTGTAGGTCAAACCCCATCGTCAGCTGCAGCTCTCCTCTTCATTTGGCTGGCCTAGAAGTGGGACCTTGCAGAATAGTTCCCAAATACAAGTTGACTTTCACTGACAGAAGTATATGGGACTGTTAGTAAACAAAGAATTAAATAGTCCAGTATTAAATTTATTGTGCTTAGTAGTATAGGAGAGAGTGAGAAAACATGGGAAAAGACAAATAATAAAGGAAAATGTTATTGTAAGTAAGGAAAGGGCTTTTTTCTGGTTTTGCAGGTAGCTGAGCCTTTATTTCCTGTAACCCAAATAATTAGTAAGGGTTCTACCTGCTCTGCATTGTTATTTTCTCTTATTATTTGATATTTTTACATTGAGGCTGAGTGAGACTTTTTACATAGGTTTGGAGAGGGAGATATTTATATTGCTGTTTTATGTAATTTTTTTTCCAGTATCCCTTCCCCAAAGCTATCTGCTCTTCAGACAAGTCCTGTGAAAAAGGGAGTGTAGATATCCACAGTCATGGTACGTAAACTGCATTTTCAGACTGAAATATTTTTTGTGGGTACTATCTTCTATTGCATTATTGACCAGTGCAGCATGTGCAAGATCCAACTTGGAGAATTGCAGCAGAACAGGACAGAATCTAAGAGATGTCTGAGAACGTATTTTCAAAACCACAAAACTGAGTTCTTAGCAGCTAGTGTGTACCCTTACTAGAAGGAGAAGCAGTGAGAGGGAGCAGAGGAAGGGGAGATGTGAAGAAGAATACAGACTGGTGTGAATGAGGGCCGATCTCACACTTTTGAAGTCCATAGCTACTCAGCAAGTGGAGTGACTGCAGGATCTGTTTGAAAGGTCTATAACACCACTATGATGTTTAGTTAGTTCTCAGAATGTCAGGGGACTTGTGTCCTTTATTTGGGACCAGTTGTCCAGAAGGCATCATACTGTTTTCATCAGCTATGTGAATTCTTTGTAGTGCTGTGATTCACTGAATTTGGGCTGCTGGTTGGATTATCATTTTCCCTGGTAAAGACTAAATGCTCACAGAAAATGCTGACTTGCCAGGAGTGCAGAAGGAATTAAGGTTTTCTGCCCACCTTCATATCCTGGTTTAATTTGCTCATGTTGTTGAATTAAACTTCTAACTGAAACAGTTGGTCTCTCAATTTATCCCAAGACTCAGATATGTAACTTCATATAAAACTGTGAAGGAAATTACTTCACCCTCAGCCCAAACAATGACAAGCACTGTTGACCCAAGCGAACGGCTAAATAAGGATTGACGAGGTGTGGCAGGACCATGGTTTGAGTAGTTCTTCCTACAGCTTCCTCCTATAGAAAGCTGCAACAATCTGAAATGTCAAGGTCCCTATCTTACATTTGAGGAGGAATCCACTGACATGTTGAAACTGTCTCTCACTGGTGAAAAACTCTTGTCTTTGCTGAGTAAAGGCTTGTTTCTCTACAGGAATTCAAACAGGAAGATGTATGAATTATAATGCAACTGTTAAAACCTGTGAGGTCAGGGCATGGTGCCCTGTGGAATCCATGCAACCACCCCCTGAGTAAGTAAAAGAGATATCTGCTTTTTTTTTTTTTTTATGTCAGAAGAAGGATTTACTTTGTCAAAGTAATGAAATTTTAGGATAATCCCTTCGCCTAGGCGCATATAGATCTCATGCTTGTAAAACAGCTATTTTCTTCATAGCCATACTGTTAACACTCATTATAATATCTAAATAACTTCTAACAATCTGTCCTGCTGTATGATTCTGCAGTGAAGTCATAGCCTCCAGTTTTTATCATCATGCAGCTGCCATAGAAACAGTTTTAGATGTCACAGGCTCATCTTTAATTCACTAGAGGCATTTGGCTCATTAATTCAAATGTCAAGGAAAATGCATCAACGTAAGATAGGTTTAATCAGTAACAGAAATAAAAATTTTCCTAACTTGGCGTTTTCTTATGCAAGGCTTAGGGCTCTATGGTGTAAAAGTTCTTTGTGGGTTCATTTATCAAGTGAGGTTGCTTCCACCTTCCAGTAGGGGTAAATTGGTTGTCTGGACATTGTGCTGCAGGCTGGTGTTTGGGGATCAACCTCAGGCTGAAGAACAGTCTCTCCATCCTCTCTGGGTAGATGATGAAAACCTCAATGCTGGCAATCTGTAATAGTAAGCTGAAGAAAACTCTAGGAAAAAGACTCCGCAGAACAATGCTGCTTTGTCCTAGAGAGTGGGATGGAGGGGCCTTGTAGTCATCTTTTTTTGTAACCCCATGACTGTACAGTGTTCTGAGATGAAAATGTTCTATTTCTATTCTGTATCAGCCAAAGCATGAAAAAAATTTATAAAATACTTGATTTCAACTGAAGTGATGGAAATTATACTCTAAGAGAGCAAATGCTAATCAATTTTAGCTCCTCTCAACCAGCTTTGAAATACGTGTGTAAGAAACTAGGTCAATTATCACTTTTATTAACTCATTGCTTTTAAAAGATACGAGTGTGATTCTATGTATATATCCCATCTTTTCCCTAATTTGGGGTTTTCTGCAGAGACTGAGCAGTTTTTCCACTGCCAGGTCTGCTCCAGAGCCCACAATGCCTCCTACAGCTCCTTCTGCTGAGTTTTTTTCAGCTCTTTAAAGGAATTTCCATTCCCTTCTCCTGCGGACAGAGTTGTGATCTGAAAAAGGCTTTGTCCAACAACAGGAAGGCTGTAATTGTTCATACAGCATCCGGGAAAGATATGCATGAACTTCCTGAGTTAATGAAATCTTAGGGGGGTTTTATAAAATTTCAGTGACTGCCAGTCATTTTTAAATGTCACACTGCGTGGGCTCACTGCTGCATATGTTACAGAGGGAATTTTGCTTTTAATCACTTTGCACAGTTGACACATTCTGTCTTGTTTCCTAATCTCCTTCTAAAGTGCCAGTAGTCGGTCACTACCAGGGACCAAAAATAATGGATGAGAGGTTTGATCTAAACCTCTAATGTATAAAGTTCCTTCACAAGTTCCACTGGCAAGGAAAAAATGTGGAATCACTAAAAAGCAAAGCTGAGTGTTTATTTTCAGCCAGAACCATACATAAGACCAAGGTCAGAGCCCAGGAAGCTTTGCCATCTAGTTGAGATACTGAGCTAGCAATGTTGGGCTTTGGTTACACCCATTATTGTCCTTATTGTCCAAATTCCTTTGAAAGGTACCTTTCATGAACTATATGGGAGGCCTCCTTTTCCTTCCTGTTAGTTATAGCAGGAACTGAACAAAGCCATTGCATGTTGGCAAGAAGATTCTTTAATTTTTGATTGTTCATTTCTGCCCTGAGGCAGGGAATAGTTGTCAGATTAGCTGGCTGAAGGACAGGTGTTTTAAAACACCTTTTTCAGAAGAGCTTTGGATCAGATTCCAGATGTTTCCCAGTGGGTGAATTATGGACAATTTCACATTATAGGTTCATTCATTTTTAGTTCTTTAAAAATTAACACACGTTATTAATGTCTTGACTATTATACACTGGAACTTATCAATGACTTTCGTGTCCAGGTAGCATTGACAAATGTTTATTTAGTTTGCAATCAAGGCTCACTTGTTGACTTGGTTTAGAAGACACTCATGAGAAGTCACTCATGGAAGCTGCATGTCATCCAGCTAATATGCTTCTTGTCATCACAGATCTCTAATGCAGAGGCATTGCTCAAAATACAATGATAGGAAAAATATTCCCTGCTTAAAAGGACTGTCCTTTGTGTGGATGACTGCTTTGAATACTAGGTTTCCACCTCAAAATGGCTGTCTTGATGGAAATTAAAATATTCATGGCTCATTCTTACAGTGGAACAATGCCGATATTCCAGTTCAGCATAGTCCCTATGCTAGACAAACAATGCTAAAAATTGTATCTTTTACTTTCCTATAGCCCTGGCAAGTCCTGGAGTGTAGCAAAGTTGTTTCCCACAGTCTAGGCCAACATTACCCATCTGGCAACTTGTGGGAAAATTTCTTCTTTCCTGCCACATTAGCTTCAGGGAAATAACTCTCTTGAGGAAGGGTCAGACTGGCAGCCTGCTTTCCATTGTGTTTGCATTCCACCTATATATTTAGTGACACAAACCACTGCAGGGGAGGTGCTCAAACCAGTATCTGCTAGGAAGGCAGGACAACCTGTGGTGATGTGATTGACACCTGACTTCCAGAGACATCCTCTAGGATCGAGTGCATGGCTCATTCTTATACTCTTACTAGCTGTGTAGGTCTGGTGTAAACAGCCACCTCTTTGTGGGGACCAGCAATGAAACTGCCAATTCATTGTGCAGAAATCATCAGCTGTCAAATGGTGTAATTTCTTAATACTATTCTATAGCAAGATTTATATGAGAAGTCTCCTGACATCATATTTCATCTGCATGTAGAGACTCCAGTAAGGCTTGGTCCACACAAACAAGTGCAATAGAGAGAGAATAATTTATACCTAAACCTAAGAAAACCACCTATATCTTTATTGATCCCCTGAGCCACCTAACTCCCTGCATTTCAATCTGTTATTCTTAGCAACATATTCCTCCTACTGACAGCTTTCCAGGTAACAGTAAAGTAGCATAACATTAACGGGTTTATTTAAGTATAAGAAGTTAGTTAATTTGATGTTTCTTTTTTAGGCCTGCTGTTCTGAGGAGTTCTGAAGACTTCACTGTGCTAATAAAGAACAACATTCACTTCCCAAAATTTAATTACACCATGTAAGTGCAAACATTCCTCAATGCCTTCTGAAGAGAGTGAGTAGTTGTGCTCTGAAAAAAAGATTGTATAAATTGGCACCTTCTTTACTCAGAAAGGCTATGCATTCAGGGCTGTATCTGCCTGAGTGACAAATACCAAGTTTCTGTAATTCTTTAGCTCTATTCATTCTTCAGGAACCAAGAGAAATAAGGAGAGCTTGGGAACAGAGCCTCCCAGCATAACTCTATTTCTCTCATGCACTGAACAACAGAATTGTTCATTCAGCTATACTGGTTTATGTTAGGGTAAAATCACTAAAATATAGCACAGCAGATGTGCAATTCAAATTATAATGTGAAAGTGTTTAGTTTACACAAGTAGAATTTTGCTGGTGATAATATCCAAAGAGTAAAGAATTCATCTTGATTCCCAGATCCTGAGTAGGGATATGTAGATCTGGTAGCCAGAAAACCAGAAGCTTGTATATTTACAAACTGAGCACATTTAACACAGGTTCTACTAAGTGTGAAGTCCCTTGCCTGTATCTGTAGCTGCTCCAGCTTGTATTTAAATTTAAACAATTGTGTGTGTTCTTCACAGACTAAATATGCCACCAAATTTAAATACTTCCTGCACATACAACAAGATAACTTCCCCGCTCTGTCCAATTTTCCGTCTGGGAGATATCCTTCAGGAAGCAAAAGAGAATTTTTCTGAAGTGGCAGTAAAGGTCTGTGATTGCTTTTTTTTCATGCCCATTATTAAAACATTTTCTTGATTCTCTTCCTGCATGTTTTGCTGTCTACCATATAGCGGAATTGTTCTAGGTTTAGAAACTGATAGTGTGAGAAGCAAAGTAACCCCAACTTTCAAGAATTAAATGTGCTTAACATCTCACAGGATGGGACCCATGTTGACAGAGCTGATATTATTTTGTTAGTATTGTAGCATGTAGAGGCACCTTTACAAAGCACAGTGCATTTAAATAGGTCCTATACAGGGCTGTCATTCGTGGTCATCTTTTGATTCTACTCAAGCAGATCCTAAATGATGTTGCAGGGGGAATCATCCAAAATTCAGACTGGCACAAATGGCTGCTTATATTCAGAGTCAAAACCCACTTATTTTTGCCATTACATTTTCACTCTGTTCTTTAGGATATTGAGCCAAACGCCCTTAACAGAGTATCCAGCCATACCTCTAGAAAGTCAGTATTAACAGGTGGGTAGAAGTAGAGACAAAGCATCCTGCCCAGAGTCATCAACTGAGCCACATTTATTGATTCTCAGTTTGGCACAGTGCGTTCAAGATGAAATATTTGTACTGGGTGCCTACAAAACTTAGGCTTGCATGCTGGCTTTTGGTGCGAGCCTATACGTAGTTTAAAGCAACGAAATGGCCATCACTGTCTATCAGCTACATCCACACTTGTGCTACTACGATGAAAAGAAACAGACAGAATATAGGACAGACCTAAATGAATGGTAGCTTCCAGCTCATGTAACTAAGTCACTTCCACAGAAGACTGCTTGACTGGCAAATGTTGCTTATGAGTTAGCATGTCTATAGAGAAGTGTCCATGCCAGTGGCATCTCTCAAGTCTCTGCTGACTTTAACAGCAGTTTAGCACAGGCAGCAATCACAGCGCTAGTCCCTAAGCTTACTGGGTCTGTTTCTAGGGAGGAATCATTGCCATTGAGATTAACTGGGACTGTAACTTGGACAGCTGGTTTTACCACTGCAGACCAAAGTATGATTTCCGCCGCCTTGATGACAAAAAAATAAAGCCTGGATTCCATTTCAGGTAAAAAATGTTATATGAAGCAAGTAGCACATTTTCTGAGTTGAAGCAAAGATGTGATGAGGTGTGGGGAATGATGACTTGGAATGACAAGACGTTTGATTCTCCTTGTTTACTCTTGTAGTCATGTCCTTAACCTGCAGTTACTGCAGTTGTATACATGTATCATCATGGTCATCTTCCAAATGAGCATGCTTGTATTGCAGGAGATTTTATTTATGTGTTGAAAGGCCTAGAAATTTCCACCAGGTATTCTAGGAGCTAACACAGATAATAGTTTGGGCAGATTCCACCATATGGCGACTGAGGCTTGAAACTACCTAAACTTGTGTTTCCCCAGGCAATTAACACAAATAAAATAACAAAGTGGTTTTCTTCCATCTGGGTAACCCCACAGTTCACTGAATCAAGATTTATTCAAAAGCAAATTAGAGCTTTTAGTTCTGTGTGCATATAGCAGATTTATGAGAAGTTTTGACAAAAAATCTTGTCATGACATGACTCTAGTTCTGAATAGTTACACAAAGCATTTATCAAATGCTTATCAGCATGTTTAAAACTGAAGTTGTCCCTCAGATCTTTTCTTCCATCTGGGTAACCCCACAGTTCACTGAATCAAGATTTATTCAAAAGCAAATTAGAGCTTTTAGTTCTGTGTGCATATAGCAGATTTATGAGAAGTTTTGACAAAAAATCTTGTCATGACATGACTCTAGTTCTGAATAGTTACACAAAGCATTTATCAAATGCTTATCAGCATGTTTAAAACTGAAGTTGGCCCCCAGATCTAGGTAAAAAAAAAAAAAAAAAAGTGTGTAACAACACTTTTTTTGACTCGTCATGATTATTACTACATTATGGATTTTCATACATTTGTGATGCTAACAAGAGTGCCATAACTGTCTAGGAGCTGCCAGCATATTCCAAAGCTGCTTTGTGCTGGAGCTGTGCAAACAAAGAACAAATAGGTATTCCCTCTGACCTGGCAACCACAGACAGGAGGTGGGGGAGATCACAAGGAAAAAGCAAGACAGTGCTCTGAGGCTGAGGCCAGCAACCCTTCAGTTTAATACATTTTTGTAGGTAAAGCAGTTTCTGAGAAGGCTTTTGGAAGAAGACAGTGAAGTAGTTTTGAGGGTGTTAGTGTCAGATTACACAGTTGGGGTCAAAATGCCAAGAATGGATTTCCCCAAAATTTGTTATCATTTAAGCATCAAATTACCAGTCTGTAGCAAGATTGTTTTGCTGCAGTTCAGTTGAAATCTCTGCTGCAGGAAGTGAACCTGGTCTGAGAACACAGGCTGCTGGGAGAGTCTGTGTGATGCCAGACCACATCCTGGTGGCCTGACTCTGTATATGTTAATCGAGGGGTTTATTGGCAAAGAAATGTCATTCTCTAATGTCTCCAAAATTTAAAAAGAGGAGTAGAGTAGTTCAGGGCAGCAATTTAAAAGGCAAAGACAGTGAAAGTTGAAGAGCAGTGAATAGATTGAGCATACTATTTAAAACAAGCATGGATGAAGAACATGCACAAACCCTGCCGTGCTGTTGAGCAGGTGTATGCCAGCTTGTATAAACAGAGCTGCTGATTTCAGTAGAACTACCCAAGTGAGTGAAGGGGGGGAGAGCTAGAAATGATCCTACAATTAATATATTTCAAGAAAACTTTTTTGACATCAGTGACATGTCACGAGAATTTGAAATACTATCATATCAGAGGTCCATCCAGCCCAGTGTCCTAAAGCTAACAAAGATCAATAGCAGGAGAGAATTTTGGAAAAGAGCCTAAGAAACAGGGCACATATAGAATGCTGCTTCCCCTGCAGCCTAGCCGTTCTAGAAGTCAGAAATGCTACTTTGGTCAGCTTATAACCTCTGTCTGCATGGAGCCCTATTGGTTTAATCTCAGTTCCAAAGGGAATTTTGTGATAGACTTAAACTGGAACAGGCTTTAGCCTTCCAAAATAAAAGAACCGCTTGAGGTGCAAGGAAGCAAAACTTCAGCCAGTGATCAAGAAAGCTTCACAGGTCAGCACTGAGCACAAAGCTGTTACAGAGAAGGCGGCTTCTATGCCATCAAGAGCAGATGTGAAATAACCTCTACCCTGAGGACTAGAGAAAACCTCTGATCCTGGAAAGAGTTAGGAAGACTTTCAAATAAAACCTAACTGACCTGCAGGCTGCAGAGGCTAAGAGCTGGCCAATAAAACACATCTCGGCCACAGACTGTGCAACCATTCAGCAAGGAAAAAGGGCATTTCGTGTCTGTGCAAGCAAGGAGAAAGCAAACACATTACAATGTGTTTTTCTGAGTGAGTCACTGCCTTCAGAGAATACAAATCAGATCACAGTGAACGGGAAGCAAATGATCTCATGATCTAGGGAACTCTGATTAAAAGCACTCTGAAAATCTGCCAAACTTAGCTTGTAGTAGGTTGTGCAGGAAAGAGTTTTTTTTTAAAAGCTTGGTCTGGGCTGGTTTGTTAGCATCAAGATGGCAAAGCAGAGCAGCAGGGACTGAACCCAAAGAGAAAGGAAAGGAGGAAAATGTATTTTTCTTTAGATGTCTCTATCATCTGAATGAGTACCTGGAGATGCTAGAAAGCAGAGGGCTGAGCTGATGACATTTACACCAGATATATCCTCTTAAACAGTATACTCTTTCGGTACTTGAACAGGCAACCAACTATAAAACAAAATTTGATTAGCAATGACAGAGTGATCTGTGAGAATCTGCTGCCCCTGGAACTGATCTTCTGTCCCTTTGGCTAAGCAAATTCCCATTCAAATTACTTGTCTAAATGAAGGAGAATAGAACTTAGCGATCACTCAAGTAAACCAGTCAAGAACAATACAGCACTTTAAGTCCTGACAGCATGTCCAAGTGCAAGGTCCTGCACCTGGGTCGGGGTAACCCCCAGTATCAGTACAGGCTGGGGGAAGAAAGTATCGAGAGCAGCCCTGCCGAGAGGGACTTGGGGTGCTGGTGGATGAAAAGCTGGATATGAGCCGGCAATGGGCGCTGGCAGCCCAGAAGGCCAACCGTACCCTGGGCTGCATCGGGAGAAGTATGGCCAGCAGGTCGAGGGAGGTGATTCTGCCCCTCTACTCTGCTCTGGTGAGACCTCACCTGGAGTACTGTGTCCAGCTCTGGAGCCCTCAGCACAAGAAGGACATGGAAGTGTTGGAGCGGGTCCAGAGGAGGGCCACAAAAATGATCCGAGGGCTGGAGCACCTCTCCTATGAGGACAGGCTGAGGGAGTTGGGCTTGTTCAGCCTGGAGAAGAGAAGGCTGCGGGGAGACCTGATTACGGCCTTTCAGTACCTAAAGGGGGCCTATAGGAAAGATGGGGAAAATCTTTTTAGTAGGGCCAGCTGTGAGAGGACAAGGGGTGATGGTTTTAAACTAAACCAGGGTAGGTTTAGACTAGATATAAGGAAGAAATTCTTTACAATGAGGGTGGTGAAACACTGGAACAGGTTGCCCAGAGAGGTGGTGGAGGCCCCATCCCTGGAAGCATTCAAGGCCAGGTTGGACGGGGCTGTGAGCAACCTGATCTGGTTAGCGGTGTCCCTGCTCCTGCAGGGGAGTTGGACTAGATGACCTCTAGGGGTCCCTTCCAACCCAAAACATTCTATGATTCTATGATTCTATGTCTGAGGCAGAAGACATACGGGTGGTATTATCAGATATTAGTTGGATATTAGTACCATTGTGTGATTTAGTATGTTTTTCAGTTTAATGTAATGATTTTGTCTGTACTGCCAGCTTTCCATTGTCAGAAAAGATCTCTTTGTTCTATGCTGTGTGACTGCTTATTGATCCATAAGCTGCTGTGAGCTTGTGCATCAGGAGGGTTATGTTCCTGATAGAATAAGAAACTGGAAGTTAGTAAAGGCTCACATGATTCTTGCCACTCTCTACTGATCGAAGAATGGAAAATGGCTGATATCCAGCGTGCTGAAGTGTGCTCGGGAGTTCAGAGTTGGTCTTGGATAACATGATATTAAAGCCTTCAGAGCATGGCACTCTTGTCATTGCCAGCTTCTCACATATCCTTGCTGGGGTTTTCTATCTGCTTTATCTGTGATTGAACTTCTTTCTGGAGCTTCAGGTTCCAATTTGAACTGAGACAGCAAAACACTCATTGGACATTAGTTGGATTTTTAATTTGTCTAAATCTCTCTATATGTAATAATTTAGTTTAGACTGCCAGGTCAGATGCTGGGCAAAATACTATTCATCAAGCTGGCCTCAGCACCTTCATTTCAGAAGACTGAAAGGGCTGGAGGAAGAAGGGAGAAGAAACTACACCTCTATTTGTGTTCTGCAGCCTCATGGCATTATATCACCCAGGGAAGCTGCACTGATCTTCATTTACTCTTTTGCAGATATGCAAGGTACTACAAGCTACCACATGGAAAGGAGCAGAGAACCCTTTTCAAAGTCTATGGAATACGGTTTGACGTCCTTGTCTTTGGCACAGTAAATGCAATTATTTTTCCTTGTGGAGGGATAAGAAAGCTTGCTATTTTCTTAGCCCCACTTCTGCCATGTACCCCTCTCATCTCTCCTGTCCATCATTCTGGGTTGGAAGTCATGTCAGATGAGTAGGCCTAAACAGAACTGAGCAGCATAGGAGAGCAAAGCTGAGGATGAAATGTCAAGGCTGGGAGAGAAGCAGGATTATTGTTTAAGACTGAGACAATAACAGGTGTCATCATGATATGATGTTGTCATGAACCTCATGTGTCACCACCGTTTCCCTCTCAAGTTGTTTATTCTTCCCTGCAAAGTATCTGAGATGGTCTATGAAATTTTGGGATTGACTGAATTGCAAAGAGACAAAGATACGTTGTGAAGAGACAAAAAGAGAAAAGACATTAAGTTGAATAAATGGTAATAGATCTTGCCTCACAGTTATTCTTTTCTGCTTTCTTTAAGGGTAGAAAATTTAACAGCATTGAACTCATTAAAAACATTGGGTCCATGATCTCCTATTTTGGTTTGGTGAGAAACTTATTTTTTGTGTTAATGAAACCAGTTCTGGAGATACAGTCTCATTAAGAAAGTGGAATCACTACTTGATTTTTTTTTTTCCTGTGCAGGTTGTGACTGCCATTGAAGTTGCTATTTATTTAGGTAATTACTCCAGATGCAGCAAATCACCATTGTACAAAATTTACAACGGGAAAAAGTATGAGACTGTGCTGAATCCAAGACAGGTACGGAATGTTAATTGCTGCTCTATGGATACAAAAATGCAGCTAATCCAGGAAGCTTCCATGAAGCGGTTCATGGCATGCAGTGCACAAATGCAGTGGGCTCTACACACAACCGTAGCATGGCAGAGTCGCAGCAGGTCTGTCAAGGAAACCTGCAGGGAATAGTGATCCTTCAAAACAGCAGAAGGATATCATGAAGGGTTGTTCATAAAGAGGGCATTGCTCAAAGCCTCTTCCCTGCCAACTTTAGTTGCTTCTTCCTCTTTTTCAAGTTATTAATGATTATTTCTCTAGACTGCCTCTACTAATCCCCCAGCATTTTAGACATGTATTTTTAAAGAGTGAAGAGGAGAGTACTTAAAGGCCCTGCACAACCACACTCCTACAGTTAGTTCTATACCATCTCTTCCTGTTCCCTCTGTCCTTGCAGCTCCCCACGTCCTTGCTATCCTGGATACTGGGAATATGGGCCCTTGCAACATGCAGTTGCAGGGGATTGTTACTGGAGTACAGACTGCAGAACCCTAGCCCTAAGGTCAGATCTATGCTGTGTTTGTCCCCAGTTCTCCAAGTAACTACTTCAGCTGACAATGCTCATTTCTTCTGCTGCACAGGTAATGTTTGTGTCCTATGTTGATGAGCCACATGTTACCTTGATAAAGAAGCCTCTGAAAACAAGCTTGCAGGATGCTCAAGGCAGTATTGTTGAGGTAAAGGCAGACAATCTTTGGTATCCTTCCTTTGGTATCCTTCCTTTGAGAACTGAGGAATGTCATTCCAAACTGATTTGGGTTTCCATCCATCCTCCCCACCCACCCCAATATTTTCAGATGAGATTCTGAGAGGCTAAAACTAGATTCCTATTGTTCGCATCAAGTTAATAGGTCCTGTGACCAGAGAATGTATTTTCTAGAGTCTCCTAAAAATTGCTGCTTTCCTATGGTGGGTATGTGCCAGCGGGAGTACGTTGGTGTTGAAACAACTTGCAAAGTGTCGATTCGATTTCACTAGGGTGGGCGTTGGCAACACAGAAAGACAATCCTCCTCCAGATCTGCTGATCTATCATCATTATCCCTATTGTGCTGTGTCAAATGAAAAACCCAGTGGTGAGGATCACTGTTGTAAATTCTCTCTGCAGTTGGATGAAGCAGCAAATGCTGTTTTCTTCTCTAATTTGTGTTGCAATTGTTGTTGCAGAGCCACCCTGTGAAATTCTGTGATGCTGGCAGCTACTGCACCAGTCAGTCTGACGAGAACCGTGATAATGAATACGAGCTGGGACAACCTCTCAGACAAGGGGCCTCTTCCCCACACTGCCAGAAGTGGTGCTGCTGTGGCAAATGCCAGCCAACACAGGAGTACCATGAGCAGCTCTGCTGCCGAAGGAAAAACGGGCAGTGCATCACAACTTCCCATTGGTTTCAGCAGCTGGTGTTGTCCAATCACACCCTGCAGAAAGCCCTTCTCTACAAAGATCCCTTTCTGGACTTGACCAATTGCAATATCAACAACCAGCTGCGTCACCTTGCTTACAAGCAATACATTAACTGGCGCTTTGGCTCTTTTGACTTGGAAGATCGAGCTGTCATCCCAAGCTGCTGCAGGTGGAAAATTAGAGATACTTATCCCAACGCAGACAATAACTATACTGGTTTTAAGATAGACTGAGGATGTAGAACAACTTGAGCTTACACTGTGACTCACCGTGGGCATTTAACCTTTGTTTTCTTTCACAGACCTTTCAAGAAAAAAAAGAGAAGAAAGCGTGCAACTTCCCAAAATCTTCGGTAGCACAGCTGAATATATATATATATACTGTATACTGTCTTTGGAGAGGCACAAGTGCCTCCTGCTCAGCATTGAGGAACAGATGCCTTGACCTCAAGTGCTTGCTTCTGCCTGTGCTTCATTCTGTGAGTCACCCCATGTGGTTTGGAAATGTAGGCTCTGGGGTCAATTCTTAGGGCTACATTTTAGTGGGAGGTTCCAGGCCTCCTGCCTTCGCACTGGTGCATGCCAGAGTCCCAGCTGAGTCAGGAGATGACCAGCACCCTGAAAATAAGATGGAGCCAAGAGTCATCTCAAAGCATTACCCCTGAAGAAAGGAAGTCTAAAAGAGATACTGCTTGAAAATGTGGTCCTGAGCATTTTCCTCCCCCAGCCTCACCACCTTTCTGCAGCCCTGGATCAAGAGGCTCTAGAAAGAGGCCACTGACCGTGTAGTTTCATAACTCACCATTGAAGGCCTCACGGTCCGTCCTGATTAAACAGGCTCATTCTAGATGATTTCAGTGACACAGACAAAAGCCCAGCGGCTCTCTTTTTATTACTCCTTTTAACTTGAACTCAGGAATTACAATGAAAAGTACTTTTACCATCTTTGTGTAGTATTTTTGGGCATACTGCTCACTGCAGGGGGGCTGGACTAGATGACCTCTAAAGGTCCCTTCCAACTCAAAACATTCTATGTTCCTATGATTCTATGATTTTGTTCATACTCATTGAAATTATAATGTTGGACTTTGGCCTCCTGTTTGCTCTTCACTTCCAACAGGCCTTGCCTCCTACACCTCCTCCTCCTGAACTTGGCACAGCGCGAGCTGCTTTGTGCTATGATGCATAAGGCCTCAGTACAGCCAAGGAGCAGCAAATTCAGGGTAGATTAATCTGTGCTCCAACACCTTTTCAGTTCTTTCTTTTTGTTATATTTGGACGTGTTCTATTTTTGTAGAAACAAGGTGAGAAGGATTGTAGCACGTATATTCTGCACTCCTTTCAGCTAAGCTTTGTTCTTTCTGAGCTAACCCAGCAGTTTGCCATTTCCATTTCCCATGCATATATCTGCTAGCAGATTATGTCAGCTGTATATCTTCAGTTGTAATATGCATTAATTGTGCTAACATTCATATTGCAGCATCTTATGTAGCTAGAGTGGGAAAATATTACAGTTGGCATTAATGCATTCCTGTTCTGACACATCGCTCCTTATGGAAAGAATTACACTGACCATTCACTTAAGATTGTAATTTTAATCTCCTTTCACATTTGTATGTATGTTCTTCCTTATTCTCTCCCCCTTTTTTTGGTCCTCTCAGTTTTGCCTGGTTTTGTAATAAATAGAGCATTTTACTAATCTATAGCTGACTCAAAGTCTCTTTAATAGTTTTGGACTGTCTGAAATTCGCACTGCCGGTTTGTAAGTTAACTTCATCTCTTTCTAATGATTTACCTGCTATAATGCAGGTTATGGTGATGTTTCTAAAATAAGCACTGTGTTGGGCAGCTCAGCATCAGTTGGAAGGTACATGAATTAAGTGGTGCAGATCTCTGCTTTTATAGAAAAGATTAATTCTGCAAGAGGATAAATAAAGGATTTGCTCATTGTGGATGGGAGGGTGACAGTCTTAGATATGCTTCCGCTATCTTTTGCAGGCAGGCTCTCTGTCCTTGCCCTGAGCGGGCTCCAAGTTATGTCTTGGTGTTAGGACAGCCCTTGCCTGATGTTATGTGTCCAGATTCTTTGTGAGACTTAGTAGCCCAGGCTCAGCGTAGGACTGACAGCTCCAGACTTCCAGGTAACAGCTGACCCACGTCTGACCAGTATGGAGGTGAAAAACTCCCCATAAACTTGCTAACAATGAGTAGCAGGGGAAAAAAAATCTCCCAGATTTAGCAACTAGTGTGAGAGCATCCTGAGCAGGGTGACCCACCGCCTGCACTTCCCCAGCCCTCCCCCAGCCCTACGGCAGCGGGAGGCCTCAGGGCAGAGCCTTGCCCTGG